TCATTAAGTGACCCATCTTGAAATAGCCATAGGCCCTACCTGACCAATTACAACCAGGCCCAGTTCCTAAGATTACTAAAAAAGGGAAAATTCCATACATTCCTATACTCCCTTGCTCTATCCCATCACTGTGGCCCCCCACCACTGCCTCATGGAAGATAGTCTTTCCTTTGCTGTCCTGCCTGCCTCTCCCTTTCATGTACTTGAAAAATGTCTACCTCTTTTATCCTGCCTTGGGTGAATTCTTTCACTGCCCACACCACTGGCCCCCACCCATTGGAATGCTCCACATTTGGTGACACCTCCCCCCATCCAATCGGGTCAACCACATTTGGGTCATGCATGAATGAGATTTTCAGGAGAGGGTGGAGAGCTTATGTACCACCATCATCTTGCCCTATACTCCCCTTCAGCTGGGTGGGCAGGCTGCAATCCTTTCCCACAAACTTCTCCCTTTTTATCCTCACCTATGTGCCCTCCGTGGAGTTTCTAGCCTAAGGTAATTAATTTCCATACCACCATAAATGTTCCCTTGAGTAACTCTATTCTCTTTCACCTCTGTGTTCCAATCTTATGTTTCATGCCCCAGAGTCTCTGGAACCGTGTTCACTGAGTTTATTACTCATGCTTTGTACTCTTGTACCCTGAGTTCATCAATCATTAATATGTCCTAGGTGCTGTGGGACACGAAAGATGCTCCATGTGACTCAAATCCTGCCTTGTAGTTTACTCATCTAGTTGGGACACTACCAGATAACGATGCTGTGAGATAGGAAGTGGTATGTGCTTTAAGAAAAGAATTGATAAGGTCCAGTGGGAGCTCTGAAGTGGGCAACATGTCACTTCCAATTTGAAGGCAGGCTTCAAGGAGGAGGGACTTCCAAGCTGGGCCTTGAAGAATGAGAACAATTTAGAGATGTGAAGAAGGGGGTGGGGTGGCAATTTGGGCCAAGGAGGCTAACCTATGAGCAAAAAGTTCAGAGTTGTGATAACACTGGGTGTATCCATGGAGAAGAATGAAGTTTGGCTTGGACACGCACAGCATGGTGGGTGAAGAGTGTGAGATAAGACTAGAAATGTAGGTGGGGCCAGACCTTGGAGGATTCTCACATTAGCAAACAGGATTTGGACTTTCAGCTGTAGTCAATGGGTATCTTCGAAGTTTGGTGAGCAAAGAGTAAAGCCACATACTTATTTATTTATATTCAAGGTTTATTTTGAGACAGAGAGAGAGAGAGAGAGAAAGAGAGACAGCATGGGTAGGGGAAGGGTTGAGAGAGAGAGAACCTGAAGCAGGGTCCAGGCTCTGAGCTGTCAGCACAGAGCCCCATGCGGGTCTCGAACTCAGGAATCATGAGATCATGACCAGGAATTGTGAGGTCATGGCCTAAGCTGAAGTCAGATGCTCAACTGACTGAGCCGCCCGGTGCCCCACCACATACTTTTTAAAATGTATAATAGCCACTCACTAAAAGAAAATTGGTATTCAGTAATTTTTTAAAATGTCTTACTTGTGGAGTGCCTGGGTGGCTCAGTTGGTTAAGCGTCTGACTTCAGCTCAGGCCATGATCCCACGGGTTGTGGGTTCGAGCCCTGCATCATGCTTTGTGCTGACCACTCCAGCCTGAGCCTGCTTTAGATTCTGTGTCTCTCTCTCTCTCTCTCTCTCTCTCTGTCCCTCCCCTGCTTGTGCTCTGTCTCTCTGTCTCAAAAACAAATAAAACATTAAAAAAATGTTTTATTTGTTTTTGAGAGAGAGAAAAGGGCACATGAGAGTAGGAGAAGGGCAGGGAGAAAGGGGGACAGAGGATCTGAAGCAGGCCCTGCGCTGACAGCAGAGAGCCCGACGTGGAGCATAAACCATGAGATCATGACCTGAGCTGAAATCAGGAGGCAGATGCTTAACCATCTGAGCCACCCAGGCACCCTATGGCCTTCCTCTGCAAGATCCGGTGGTTAGGAGAACATCAGCCTTAGAGCCAAACAACACACAGTCAAATCCGGCCTCCCCCTCAACTAGTTGAGAGATTGGACCAACTTCACCTTTTTCAGGCTCAGCTGACTCACTGATAAAAATTCTATTACAACAGGATCTACCTCAGAGGGTTGCTGTAATGCTTAAACAAAATAGTAAATGATACGTACTTAAGTGACTCACAGAGCAAGTGTTCAGGACATGTTAGGGCAGAAGAGCACAGTACTGTCTTCTCTACAGCCTGGAAAACACATCCCCTACCCCCAGTTCTCGTGCCCAGACCAAACTATTAGATAGTTGATACTGGCTTTTCCATAGCTCATCATAGGCATTACTCTGTCGATTTTGCTCAAAGCGTGGATCAGGGAGCGAAGGAAGAAGAGGGCCTAATTTCCTAAGTGGCTCCTCTCTCCTTGCCCTCTATTTACACTGGGCTTGCACATTTACATACCCGCAGAGAACAGACAGGTATGTAAACAAGTGCAGCAGGCCAGGTAAGATGTGTGACAAATTGAAGAGTAGGATTTGATCCTGGCCCCATAAAATTGCCTTTGCTTACACTTCCTGGGGTGCTGAGGGTGGTAGACTATATGCAACAAGTCATAGTTTGAATTATAAGAATGCTTGCAATGTCACCTTTGTGAGGAACGTGAGTCAATTCTTGACTGATAACACTATCGACACTAGGTGGGACCTGGTAACCACTGACCTGAGCTTTTTATCTCAGGGACGTGGTGAATTGTAACCAACACTGTTACGCGCGTGTGAGCTGCACTACTGACAGCTCTGAGGAGAGTTTGTGGACACACACAGAGATGTGACGGACACTATGCATTTAAGTTTTTTTTTTTCTTTCTTTTATCCTGTCTAATTGTTTAAAATTCCTTATTTCCCTTAAGAAATTGTGCTTAGTGTCATATGTTCAAGTAAAAGTGTACAAAGTAAAATGTACAACTAAAACCCCTTATAAACCATCTCTTCAGAAATCACCTCAGCAAGAGTTTGATAGATTTTTTTCCGGGTTGATTTTATGGCGTACGCATGCATACTGTGTTTGTTTCCTGGGGCTGCTGTAACAAAGCACCACAGACTAGGTGACTTAAATAACAGCAATTCGTTCCTCACAGTTCTAGAAGCTGGAAGTCTGAGATCAAGGGGTCAGCAGGGTAAGTTTCTCCTGAGGCCTCTCTCCTTGGCTTGAAGATGGCCGTCTTCTACCTCTGTCTTCACATGGTCTTACTTGTGTCCTAATTTCCTTTTCTTATAAAGACATTAGTCATATTGGATTAGAGTCCACCCTAAAGACCTCATTTAAACCTTAATTACCTCTTTAAAGATCTCTTCTCCAAAAACAGTCACATCCTGAAATACTGGGCATTAAGGTTTTAACATAGGAATCGGGGGATGATGTACAAATTCAGCCAGCAACACACACATGTAGTAATTCTTATAATAATCCTTCTTCTGCACAGTTCTACAACTTTCTTTTTTCACTTAAGGTAGTTTCAACACATTTTCAAGTCAGAAGATTGTGTATCTTCCTGAGGAGGCAGAGAGATTGAATATTTAGCCCTCTCATCTATATATGGTGAGAGAGAAGAAGTTGGGAATGGCCATTGGGTCAACAACCAATAGCGTGAGTCAAAAGGATACACTGGCTCTGTACTGCCTCTTCCTTCTCCTTCTAATTGCTTTTATTACTCTGTGTGTTCATCTGACCTTCACGTGATTTTCTGATGCTTTTTCTTCTTCTCCCACGTTAAGTTGGCGATTGCATAAATTATGCTCTGCTGTTTCTATGATGGGTCTTCACTAAAAAATGCTGCTATGTCCTTGCTTTCTGTTCTCAGCTCCCTTGTCTTCCTTGTTTTATCTCATTCAGTTGATTTATGACTACATTTTTTATCTCGCTCTTTCACCTCAGTGGAAAGTGCAAGGCGTGTGTTATCTGAAGGCCCCTGCTGCTTCCTGGGATGTATTCTCCAAGTCTCCTGTTTGATTCTCAGTAGTATGACTGGTTTCTTTTATTTCCCTCCTTGTGTCTTTAGGCTCCGTTTATATTCTGCTCCTCCTACTTGCAAATGCACATTGATGCCCTATGTTCAGCCTTTCAGCAGGTGTGTGTGTGTGTGTGTGTGCGCGCGCGCGCGTGTGTGTGTGTACATGCACACATGTGCACAGGGGTCTTGAGAAGTTGGCATTTGTGAATTTTCTCTCAACTCTCTTTCTCTGGAACTTGACCTTGTCAGGGTCCATCCTGTGGGCCTGCCTTCAGTTTGTAGAGTGTTCTCATTTCCTTTGCAGGCTCCTTAATTCCCCTGAGCATTGCTTTGATGTAGCAGTCAAATCTATTTTAGTGCTTTAAAAACTTTTTTTTTAATGTTTATTTATCTTTGAGAGACAGCATGAGCAGGGAAGGGGCAGAGAGAGAGAGGGAGACACAGAATCCAAAGCAGGCTCCAGGCTCTGAGCTGTCAGCACAGAGCCTGATGCTGGGAGATCATGACCTGAGCTGAAGTCAGATGCTTAACCGACTAAGCCACCCAGATGCCCCTATTTTAATGTCTTTAATGTGATCCTTAGGAAAGGTTTTCTTACTTCAAGACATATATAAATATTCATCTGTTTATGGAAGTGTATTTATTATATTTTTCCAAATGGCTAGCCAATGTTTCCAATATCATTTTTAAAATTTCCCAAATCTTTCCTACTTATATAATTTGCTGGACAGTGTTTATACACATAACGGATATAGTATACTGAATAGTGTACAGACATAGAACTTTTCTAGGTTTTTCTTTCTGTCTCACTAAAATAGCTCTTCCAGTTATATCTATTTTAAGAACACATATATTCACAAACATATTAGATTATGTTGCATTATATATATTTGTTGCATTTATACATATTTGTTGCATTATATATATATGCATTATATATATGTTGCATTTATACATATTTACATAATATATATAAAATTTTAGCTTTATAGTACAGGAAATTGAAAGTTGCATAAATAAAAGCTCCCACCACTCTCACCTCCCACTTATACTTCATGTACAAGTTCTAGTCATAATGCTGACCTGCTTAGAGCACAACAGACATGCCCTAAACAAGAAAACTTAGGGACAGCCTCTCCTGCCTGTGGGAAGGGCCGCAAGAGCAGGGCAAAAGGACTCATGCTATGACTCAAGAGTGAGAAACTTGTCTAAAGTTATCAAATCTTTATTTTACTATGGCAGACAGGGCAAAGTCTCACATAGATTTTTTTTTTAATGATCAAAACAAATGACCCCAAGATTTATCTTAGGGAGGGAGCACTGTTTGTTTTAAAAACATTTCATGGTCCGGTTAGATATATCAAGTTGGTTCTCGGGCCACAAAGCCTAGTCATGAAGTGTAAAGAGGGAGTTCAATTGCTTTATGAGAACCAAAAGAGTAATTTTAGACTCCTCTGAGGAGAAGACAGAAACAAGGAAGAAGAGAGAAAAAGCAGAAGCCAGCGATACAGTAAAATCCCCAGGGGTGGGAGAGCTAAACAGGCTTTTAAGAGGCCACCCAATATTCAAAGTTGAGTTGTTACTATTGTTTTGATGTAAGTTCCCCCCTCTCTCCAGGTTCTTGGCATTATCTGCTCCTTAAAAAGCCTGTGGGGAGTAGAGGACAGCAGCTGTGTTCATATCCAGCTCCACGTGTGGTCACGGATGGTCCATAATCCAAACTTATTCAGCAGAAACATGAACCAGATCAGAGGTAACCATGAGCGAGTACGTTCCTCAAACTGTTGCAAAACCTTGGGGAAGATCATTGATTTCTCCACATTATAAAACGGGGATTTTAGATTATACTAAATCTTGCAAGCAGGGTGATCCCAGCTGTAGTTATCCAAAACGTCGCTGACTTTATCTGCGTTTGCCTCTCAAAAGAACTGGCATCACTCCGATCTTTGGGGAAATGCATTGCTGTGTTGCTCAGTTTACCTCCCAGAAACAAGGGGAGAGGGAAGGAAGAAACAAAATGTCAAAACCTCTGTTAGTTTTTCTAATGGTCCATTCTAAGCAGAACAGATGAGACAGAATTACGTTTTTCTCTTTGTGAAATGTGGCTAATCATATTAGCTTCCTCACACAATTGTGGTGAAGATTACATGATTAGTGGTATATGTACAGCGCTTTAGAAGTGCCTGGCACACAGTAAATCCTGTGTACGTTTCCTATTATGAATATTTTTAAGGTTTATTTATTTATTTTGAGAGAGACAAAGAGAGTGATAAGGGAATGGGCAGAGAGAGAGAGAGAGAGAGAGAGAGAGAGAATCGCAAGCAGGCTGTGCACTGCCAGTGCAGAGCCCAACATAGGGCTCAAACCCATGAATCATGAGGTTATGACCTGGGCCCAAATCAAGAGTTAGACGCTTAACTGACTGAGCCACCCAGGTGCCCCTCTTATTATGACTATTAATACTGCTGTCATTATGACGCCTAGTAGAATAAGGAGAATTGAGCTGAGGGACTCTAAGAGGAAAGGAGGCAGAACCTTCAGGAGTAGGGAGAGGTGTGCCTTGCCTTCAGCTCCCCCTTTACCTCAAGCCTTCGACAAGTCCACCAGGCATGGAAAACAAATGCTTGTGGGGAGTTTCAGGAGGTGGGGCCGTTGTGGGGCAAAGCATCACAGAAAAGGAGCCAAGTTATGGAGTAGAGAAGAGAGACTGGCTTCAGCAGTTAGGATGTAAATGAAGCCAAGAGTGTGAGGAAGCTAGAATTTGAACTCACAACCAGAAATGACTAGGAGTCAATAAGTTCACCAGGAATCTGCAAAGATAATTGGAAAGGACATTGAGCTTCCTATTGAATTTGGAATTAAAGAAATCATGCCAATAGGAAAAAAAAAAGCCAAAATAACATTCAAGTGATTATCTCAGCTGACCTAAGCTCACATTAAACATAAAATGCACAAGAAAGTTAAGAAATCACTTGTTGAGGGACCCTGGGTGGCTGGCTCAGTTGGTTAAGTGTCCAACTTCAGCTTGGGTCATGATCTCGTGGTTCGTGAATTAAATAGCTCGGGTCATGATCTTGTGGTTTGTGAATTAAATCTTTCCCCTTTTTTCTCTCTCTCTCTCAAAAATAAACATTTTTTAAAAAAAGAAATAGCTTGTTGAAAATATATCAGATAAACATTTCTGGGAAAGTGGTCACTTCAATGTAAATTTAAAATTTCCCTTCCAGCCTGTACTCATTAAAATAAATAGAAATATCCCCAAAGAGAGAGGGCCCCAATCTCATACATATTAGGAAAATTGGCTGGCTATGAGTCAATTCACACCAAAATGAAAACTGGTACTGGGAATTCAAAGCATTAACATTTGAGTTGGTGAGCATTGCTGGCATGGGTAAGGGACAAAACTCTAAGAGTTCTACCATTACTACCCAACAGAGAGTTGAGGTGGGTTGTGGGATAGTACATTCCTCTGTAAAATATTAAGAAGGCTACAGAGAACACTGAGTAAGTGTTCTTACTCAGTAGATTGCTTCCACTTCGGGACAGGTCAGGTCTGTAGGGAAGCTACAGCACAGGAGTGACCTGGTGGGGTGTCCGGGGGAGACATGCCAACCAACAAGACCAAGCACTAGCATCTCCCTAGCCAGGCTTGCACCAAAATGGCTGCCTTTCCTCAAAGTCAAACAGACGTATGGAGATTCATCGCACTGTTCCCCCAGCCAGAAAGACAGGATCCCAAATCAGTGAAGTTACTCACAGCTATGGGATTTTTAACAACTTCTGAAAGGAAATGCCATTTCCCAAAAGATTACCAACAAACAATAAATAAACTAATGGAATATAAGAGAGAGTCCAGAAGTAGAGGAGTCAATTAATATAGTCAATTAATTTTTTATGAAGTTGCCAAGGTAAAGCAAATAAGGAAAGAATAGTCTTTTTCAATAAATTGTGCTACTGAAATTCCTTATCTTACACTATATATACATCAACATTTATGACTCACTATACACAAAAATTAACACAAAATAAATCATAGACTTAAATGTAAAAGTCAAAACTATAAATCTTCTAAAAGAAAACATAGTAGAAAAATTTTTCAATCTTCGCCTAGACAAAGACTTTTTTTTTAAGATTTTATTTTTAAGTAATCTCTATGCCCAATGTGAGGCTCAAACTCAGATGCTGAGATCAAGAGTCATACACTCCATCAATTGAGCCAGCCCGGTGCCCCCTAGACAAAGATTTCTTAGATAAAACACAAAAAACATGGACCATAAAAAAAAAGAGAGAAAGAGAGATAAATTGGACTTCAAAATTTAAAACTCTACTCTTCAAAAGATGCTGTTAAGAAAGCAATGGTCTGGGAGACAAAATTCACAGTATGTCTATTTGCCAAAGCACATATACCCCAAATATATAAAGAATGTTAACAGCTCAATAATGAGAGAAGCAACTCAATTTTTAAAATACACAAAAAGTTTTAACAAACACCTTGCAAAAGAACATATATGAGTGGCAATTAAGTGCATGGAAAGATGTTCAACATGATTAGTTGTAAGGGGAATACAGGTTAAAACTGTAATAACATGCCAGCACATACCTACTAGAATGGCTGAAATCAACAGAATGGACAATAGCAGTGGTTTGGAGAGAATATAGAAGTCCGAGAATATAAAAATCTATGCCATTTTGGAAAACAGTTTAAAGTTAAGTATATGCTTACAGTATGTTGTAGAAATTTCACTACTGGGTATCTACTCAAAGAAAAATATGTCCACACAATGACTGTGCATGAATGTTCATAACAGCTTTATTCATACTGGCCCCAAACTGGAAACAACCCAAATATCCATCAAAAGTGAATGGATAGGGGTGCCTAGGTGGCTCAGTCATTTAAACATCCAACTCTTGATTTTGGCTCTGGTCATGATCTCACAGTTCATGAGGTTGAGCCACATGGGGTTCTACACTGGGCATGGAGCCTGCTTATGATTTGCTCTCTCCCTCCCTTCCTCGCATGCACATGCTCTCTCTTTCTCTCTCTCTCTCATAAGAAAAAAAAAGTGAGGGGGGACCTGGGTGGCTCAGTCAGTTAAGCATCTGACTTCAGCTCAGGTCACGATCTTGCAATTCGTGAGTTCGAGCCCATGTCGGGCTCTGTGCTGACAGCTGGGAGCCTGGAGCCTGCTTCAGAGTCTGTGTCTCCCTCTCTCTGCCCCTCCCCTGTTCACGCTCTGTCTCTCTCTTTCAAAAATAAACAAACATTAAAAAAAATTTTTTTTAAGTGAATGGATAGATAAATTGTGACAGAGCCATATAACAGAATACTCCTCCGCATGAAAAGGGAACCATTGACACAGGCAACAAAATGAACGGATCTGAAAAGCATATGCTGTACTAAAAGAGCCAGACACAGAAGACCTCATACATATACATATGGCCCTCTGGAAAAGACAAATCTAATATAGAGAGAAAGAAAGCAGATCAGTGGTGCCTGGGTCTCTCCATGACGAGCGGGGATTGACGGGGAAAGCAGAAATGAGCTATTTGGGTGGAGACGAATGTTCTTGTACTTTCTGTGGTGGTGGTGACATGCGTGTACACTTTTACCAATAGTCATTAAACTATAACTGCAAATAGGTGCTTTAATTGTATGCAAATATACTTCAATAAAGTCCATTTAACAAAAAATAAATTATTTTTATTGAAAAAAGCTACATGATACAAAAATCTTATCTTTATGATAATAAATAGGAAGCTGGACCAGCCAGCTTGGTAGATAGGGAGGTCAGATACATGTATAAATTCCTTATCTTACAAAAGAAGTTATTAATGGATAATTAGAGATTCAGATTCTGGTCAAGATAACAAGCTGAGCAAGGGCTGCTACTTCTCTCCCCTGAAGGTGCAAACAGAAATGTGAGAGAGGGGTGGATAAATTCCAGAGCCTAACATAAGACTGCAAGAAATTCTTGAAGAGACACAAAGTGCTTGGGTCTTGGTGAGGGAGGGAAATGGACTTTGGAAACCTAAGAGTAATAAAAGTAATACAAATGTTTATTATTTGCCAGGCTCTCTTCTAAGTCTTGTGTATATATGTTAACTGATTCAATCCCCTGAACAATTCTGTCAGGTGGGAATTATTATCCCCAGTTTACAGATGAGCAGACCGAGGCAGGGTGAAGCTAAGTAGTGTGCCTAATATCACACAGCTAGTAAGGGCCGAGAGAGGATTTAAACCCAGGCAGCCAGGCTCCAGAGTTAGGGCCCTTGTCTCTGCACCCTGCGGCTTCCCATTATAGTGTTAGGCGCCATAGGGTGAGGGAATGGCTGAAGGAACACACTCTCCCCCTGCCATTTCCTTCTTTGGGTGGAGGAGGGCAACACCCGCAGAAGGTCAATGGGAGAGGGCGCTTCTGTTCTCCACAGCATCTTCTGATCATGACAAGGTGCGGCCGTGATTGGCCCCTGATCATTACCTGGCTTCTCCCGCCATCTGTGACTAGGAAATTACAAACTAGGATGCCACCCTGCAAAAGATCTGTGCCTGGATAAAGTGGTTTAGGGACTGCCTAAAGAATGGGATTGACTGGAGTCCTTGGGGGCGCACTATTGTGCTGAGCAGGGCCCCCCCCATCCCACTCAGCTGGAGAAGACGACAGTGCTCAGGTTTTCATCTCTTCCCAGAGACAGTGGCCCTCAGGCACAAGGGAATTCTGAGCTCACAAGAAAAAACCAATGAGACACCTGAGGAACGTAAACACTATAAAATACAGATGACAAACTGAAGAGCTGACACCAGAGGAAGCAGAGTTAAAGGACCAGCAAAATAAATATCAAATTAAGATTACAGATATCCTTGGAAATGCAGGGGGGGAATTAGAAAAGAAAAACAGATGTTATGAGGAAGAAACAATGCCATGTGAGAAATAACGTTAGGTAAATAACTTTCATTTCATTGCCACCTAAATAAATTATGGCCAAAATTAAAAAACAAAATGGGTCCTTAGGGATGCCTGGGTGGCTCAGACGGTTAAGCATCCGACTTCGGCTCAGGTCATGATCTCACCGTTCGTGAGTTTGAGCCTGCTTCACATTCTGTGTCCCTCTCTCTCTCTGACCCTCCCCTGCTCACATTGTCTGTCTCTTTCTCTCAGAAATAAATAAAACATTAAAAAAAATTTAAAAAAGAAAGCTGTAGTGGCAGCTCAATTTTAGGCAAAATAGATTTCGAACTCTTCATTCCCCTCCCCTTCCAAAAAAAAAAGAGACTACAGGAAAAATAATGATGTCATGTAATTGTACAAGTATAGTAGACCCAAAAGACATAATGGTTATGAGCATATATACATCTGACTACTTCGCCTTAAAATATATAAAGCCATAACTGATGAAACTAGGGAAGAAATAGATAAAACCACCATTTTTGGAAGAAGTTTGACATTTACTCAGAAACTGTTAGATCACACAGATTTAAAAAATTGACTACCAGTATAGAAGATTTAATAAATATATGATTGAACATTTTAAAACCAGGATTTAGCAACATATTTTATTCTAAGCACATCTGAAAGAAGAGCCTTACTATAGCAATGATTCTCAAAAATAGGAAGTCTCATTGAGAAAGAGTCAGAATACTAACTTATAAAATGAATGATAGAGGAAATTTATAGAATCAGAAAAATTAAAGCCAGTCTAAAAGCTTAAAACTCTGCATGAAAGAGATGAAATTCTAGGACAGTTGGCTAAATAAGAATGAGACTCTGATGTCAACATGAAATACCTATTTTTCCTTTCCTTTCCTTTTTTCTTTCCTTTCCTTTCCTTTTTCCTTTCCTTTCCTTTTTCCTTTCCTTTCCTTCCCTTCCCTTCCCTTCCCTTCCCTTCCCTTTCCTTTCCCCCCAAGTACTAGACCCTGGCTCACACAGATTTGTCTCCTTTAATTCTTAGAACTAATATTTAGTAAGTACCTACTGGGTGCCAAGCACTCTTTCACATCACACCTAATTCCATCTTTACAACAACTGCATGAGCTAGGTACCATTATTATCCCCATTTTATAGAAAAGGAAACTGAGGCATGGGGAAATTAAGAATCTTGCTCAAGGTTACCCAACTTCTAAGTGTGCTGTAAGTAAGCACTTATTTATATTAAATATTAGACTATGAGCTGTAATAGCATCATCATTTTATTTATTTATTTATTTTTCCACTGGCCATTGCCATTATTCTGTTTTAAAGATAGTAGGGCTAAAATCTAGTAAAATATGGACACTTACCCTGTACTTATTTTTAAGTTGTGATTTACAAGGTGTAAATTTTGTATTTTGTATTTTGTAAAATGTTTTGAAAGAAGTCGAGAAAGTAATTGTTCTTTCTTGCTCCCAAATGCAGAAGTCTGAGAGGAGGCACATGGCCTCATGAGCTTCTGGGTGTTATCAAGCTGGATTTTCTCTGAACTACCAAATGCCCAGATACGTTTACAGGGAATACAGGAGTTCCACTTAAGCAGTGGTTTCTGCCACATATCTATTTTTTTTTTTTATTGAAGAATGTAGGGAGGGTTAATTTTCCCAAGATCTCAGAGCTAGGAAGTGATGGAGAAGATCCTTGATTCCAGTTAATCTCACTGTAGGAGCCAAAGCATGTGATCACTAACATGCCTGTCACCAGTGAGACTAGAAGTAGCTCTCTGTATACTCCTTTTATAACTGCCCAAGATACACTGTTAAGATGGGGAGTGGGGAAGAAATTTAATTCCAAAGATAGCATGTAAAATATTTCCCTTAAAATATTTATATTTTATTTATATAAATTTATATTTATTATATATAAACTTATTTAATTTTAATTATAAGTATGTAATAAGATTATACATTATATAAATAAAAAGAGAAACAGAGATACAGAGAAAGAGAGAGATTGAACAGTCTGGTAAGAGTTTTGTAGTCATATTACATGTATTGGATCTCAGCTCTACCATTTATGAACTGAGTAACCTCTGGCAAGATATTTAATCTCTCCATGCCTCAGTTTCCTATGCCATAAAATGGGGCTAATAATGGCCCCAAATTCAGGGCTGTAAAGATGAAACCAGTTGCTATGTAGAAGAGCAGTTGACCAACAGCAAGTGCTTACTAAGCATTACTTTATTTGTTAAAAATGGCTATTTCTGGAGAACATTGCACTGCTGTTACTTTTATAATCAAGGAAAATTGTTAAATTAGGAATAATAACTCCTAATATATATATATACTCCTAAATATATATATATTTACTATATATATACTCCTAAATATATATATGTATATATATGTGTGTGTGTGTGTATATATATATATATATATATATATACTCCTAAATAATATAACTGCAGTTATAACCATGTGATACTGATGCAGAAAGGGATAGATCAATGAACTAGATTGGAGACTTCAGAGAAGTCCCAATTATACTGGGGTAATATTAGTAGATAATAAGGATGTAGAATCAGCGGGCAAACTACAGGCTATTTCATCTAGTGAGCTTGTTTAATTTAGTGCTACACATGGTGCTTCTTCTCTTCCCTTTTCTGAATTAGGGCATCCACCTGGGCTGGGAATCAGGTGGATAAAGTCCACTTAGGACAGTGTTCTCAGCCCTGGCCACATAGCAGACTCACATGGAGAACCCTTAAAACTCCTGCTGCCCAGGGCCCCGTCCTGGGCAGTTAAATCGTCATCACTTCTGGAATGGGGCCCAGACATAAGCATTTTTCAAAGACACCTCCCCCCACCCCCCAGATGATTCCAGCATGCAGTCAGGATAAATAACTACTGCTTTACAGGGTATTATTTTACCAAAATGATGTATTAGAGGTTAATTTCCTAGGAACAAAAGTTCCCATAAGTTGTTTATTAAGAGATTCACTATTCCTGCATTCCTCCCCTTAGGGGATCCCAGTTGGCAGGTACACTTTGCGTTTAGATTTTTCCCTTGGGAATGTTAATTGCTTCAGCTCTCATAACAGAATAGATTTTTTACTTTACCCTGGTGTGAGTGAGAGAAGAATCTGTACAGCATGCCTAAACTCTGACCTCTATGTCTATTTGGACGGTCCCCCCCGAATCCAGCAAAAGGAAGTGGTCCCGTGTAATTGCCAGACGAGTGCACTTCTAAAAATGCAGGGCTGAGTCAGTTAAGAGCAGCACCAAGAAATCACTAGACCACCCCACAGAGCCTGAGAGAGTGAGGAAACCAAAAGTCTTTCTAAAGTCAAGAAGTTCTGCCTTTATTTCCGGATCTTCTTCCTGGTTTCCAAACAGCCGGCCACCTGCTCTCAGCTTTCACCAAGAACTGAACAATTTAAGGAAGGAAGAAGATTATTCTAGGCCAGAAAGGTTCTGGGAAACTTTAAGTAGCCTTGCCTGTGGAAAGGACATTTCTTGGCCTCTCTCCCTTGCCAGGAATGACCGTCTTCTAGGATGAGGGAGAAGAAAGCCCTTTATCTTTTCCCAGTCAGGGTCTTTTTCTAGGCCTGACTGCCTGAGCTCCAGCTCCAGCTGAAAGACCTGTTAACAACTGCTTGTGGGGAGAGGAGCAGCTTAAGATTAGAGCACTAAAGATAAGATTGAGCAGGAGCAGTTGCTAGATTCACTCATTTACGTATCCACTTATCCACAGTGCCTGTGGTACAGGTCTGTATTAAGCCCGCAGACATGTGTCACTGAGGCAGAAGTTACAAACCATCTCTGGTCTTTCTGGAAATTGGTGAAAACTGCCCATGGGAGGGGAGGGTGAGTTGCAAATGGGAATGGTTTGATGGATGGTTGTTTTATTTTATTTTATTTTTAACGTTTACTCGTTTTTTCCAGAGACAGAGAGACAGAGTGAGCAGGGGAGGGACGGACACACACACACACACACACACACACACACACACACACAGAATCGGAAGCAGGCTCCAAGCTCTGAGCTGTCAGCACAGAGCCCAACGCAGGGCTCGAACTCCCAAACCGTGAGATCATGACCTGAGCCAAAGTCGGACGCTTAACCTACTGAGCCTCCCAGGTGCCCCTGATTGACAGGTTTAAGGAATTTTTTGCTGGATGTGGACACACTGCTTGCTTTCAGTGCCCACCACAGACTTCTGGTCTCCACGTGAAGTTGGAGGAGCGGCTAGGAAATCATACTGTGCAGACTAAGCACTACACGTAAAAGGAGAGTTGGCACAAGAAACACGCAAAGAGAAAGTAAGAAGGCTCAGTAGGGCCCAGCCCCGGGGAGGCTGCTCCCTCCTGTAGCCAGGCCACCTCAGGGGTGAGCCTTCAGTGTTAGCCAGTGCGCCTCCTCAGACTGCCGACCGCCCAATGCTCTCCAGCAAATCCCTCTGTTTTATGTCACACACCTGCCTTCCTTTCCTGTTAGAGATTTTCTGGGCCCTGAGAGAGAGATTTATTAAGAAGTAGAAAGAGCATGAGTCAAAAAATGAGAAGACCAGAGCTTTGAGCTCATGTGACTGAGGATGCTACTTTTCCCTTCTCTGACCCTCACTGCCATATTTTAAAAGACTAGAGGACTGGGTTTCTTTCCCCTCCCATCTGTGAACATTGATGGCGCCCCTTACCTTCCTCACCATGGCAACCATATTGCAATTGCTTCTTCCATCTCCCCAACCAGACTGAGAGCTGAGTATGAGAAGGGCCATATCTGTCTCATTTATTCTTGTGTCCCCAGCACAGGGACGTGCATACAGACAATCAAAAAATGTATCTGTTGGATGAGAGAGAGGAAGGAAGAAAAGAGGATCAGACATCTCGGCAGGCCACTGGGTACCTATTTGCGTAAAAGCTGCTAGGAGCCCTGAAAATTGCTGCAAACCAGGAAGGAAGTAAACTGCTTCTCTCCGATCCCTACGAAAGGGAAAATAAATGAGGTCTGGGGCAAAAACAAGACGTGGCCTAGGTCTCTTACAGAAGAGTGAAAAAGCAAATCTACCTGTGGGGGCTGTGAGTCACGAACACTCCAGGCTGGTTGGTGGGGGGAGGGGTGTTGGTGGAACAGAAAGTGGAAAGGTTTCCTTGCAAGAGCCAGCAGATGAGACTTCGTTAGAGCTTTGCCATTTGTACACATTTTCTTAATCTCAAGGGAACTCTCCAGAATAGGGAGGGCACCTGGGGGCCGGAGAAAAATGGGAATATCAGTATGGCGCCAGGCCTGGAAGGAACTGACTGGAAGGGCCCCACAGCCCACAGCCCCAGAATTACCCCCCTTCCTGGAGTGGCTTGGGGGTGACTCAGGTGCATCCCCTTAACACACGTGGCCCCAGAGGAGGGAGAGGGGACGCCAGTGAACTTGGGATCTCAGGGAGTCTGAGCATAATCTGGCAAACACCTCTAAGTATAATCTGGATCTTAATTTTTTCCAAAAAAAATAAAAGGAAAATTGAGAAATATTTATCTTTAGATTATTTTTGCAATAATCCTGGTCTCAGGTTCAAATCATGGCATCACAGAATCAGAGGCCCAGAGGCCCGTCCCAGCTTTTACAGAAAGTACCCCTAACAGCAAGGTCAGCAGCAGCTACCATTTTATTCCACCTCTTTTCTGCCCACAGGGCCAGGACTACAGGGAGGCAAGTGAGGTACTCACCTTGGTGCAAAATTTAAGGGGTGTCCCAAACCTTAGTCATCACAATAAACATGTTACTACATTGATGCCGAAAAGTCCATGATGAACAAAAGAGCAAACTTTTAGAGAAAGACAAATACCATATGATTTCACTCATAGGTGGAATTTAAGAAACTAAAACAGAGAAACAAAGAAAAAAGAGACAAACCAAAAACCAGACTCTTAAATACAGAGAACAAACTAACGGTCAGTAGAGGGAAGATACACTTATCGTGATGAGCACTGGGTATTGTAAAGAATGGCTGAATCACTATATCGTACATCTGAAACTAATATAACACTGTGTTACTTATACGTCAATAAAACAAAACCAAAATATTTTAAATAACAATGAGCTTTGGGGCACATGGGTGGCTGAGTCAGTTACATGTTGGACTTCAGCTCGGGCCATGATCTCCAGCCTGTGAGTATGAGACCCGAGTTGGGCTCTGTGCTGACATCTCAGAGCCTGGAACCTGCTTCGATTTCTGTATCTCCTTTTCTCTCTGCCCCTCCCTCATTCACACTCTGTCTCTCTCTGTCTCTCTCAAAAATGAATAAACATTAAAAAAATTAAAATAAATAAAAACAGGCTTTGAACCTATATTTGCTCGACTCTGAGAGTGAACATTGTGTTCACCTTACCCTAGCTGTGGCGCCAACCAAACTCATTCTCATTTTAGGGCTTTAGTACTTGCTGTTCTCTGTCTGGAATGTTCCTCTCAAATCCTTGCATAGTTGGATTTTGCTCTAGTGTCTTTTCTCAGAAAGGTCATCTCTTCTCTGACTTTGCTACAAAACCACCCCCCTCTCCCCATCACAGTATTCCATTACTGTTTTGCTTTTTCCAAAATACTCATCAGTATGAAGTTATGATATTTGTGTCCTCATTTGCTGATGTCTCTTCAGTGCCTGATACATAGTACACACCCCCAAAATATTAGTTGAATGAATAAAGTACATGAATGGAGCACTTGTCTATGAGGCATCATGCTAAGTGCTTTACATGCTTGATTTCAACCACTGTTGTACAGAGGAGTAACCCGGAGCTGTGAGAGGTTAATAGAAAATTCACTTCATGTGACATAAGGTCACATAGCTAGTGAGTGAGGGGAGGCTAAAATCATCCAGAGTCCCATTCCTTTTCATCACCTCTACTGCTACCACCCACACTTTGGGTTCCTTATTGCCCTCTTCCAAGGAAAGATTTAACTCTTTTATCCCCAAAGTCACCCCTGTCTTCTTCACTGAGCCATTGTGAAAACAGTAAAACATCGACCCTTTCTTTGATTAAAAGCATGGCCAACAGTGGGTTTGCATGTCCAGGGAAGGCTCTGGTATGACATGTTCATGGATAAGGCTATCTTCCTCAGCCCGGCTGAGGCTGGGTCTGCCTCTATGTATAAGTTCTACCTGTGATCATGTAGAGCGTACCCAGATTCATCTTCCTTTGAGGCTATGAACTGTCCAACTGTCCAACCAGGTTCGATGAGGAAGTAGCAGCTCAGGGAAACAGATCCTATCTGTGCTTGAGCCTTGTATTAAAAGGTGCTGTGCTTCTGGCTTCCTCAGCGCGCGCGAGCGTGCGTGTGTGTGTGTGTGTGCGCGCGTTTAAATACCATAAACTTCACTAGTAATTTTACTAAGTTGTGTAACTAGAACCACAACCCAGTGTTAAACCCTCCCCTCACCCACTAAGGTCTCTCATCCCCACTTACAGTTAATCCTCATTTCCCCTTTTAAAAAATGTTTATTTATTTTTGAGCGGGAGGGGAGGGGCAGAGAGAGAGATGGAGAAAGAGAATCCCAAGCAGGCTCCACGCTAGCAGAGGCCAGTGCAGGGCTCGGTATCATGAACCGCAAGATCATGACCTGAGATAAAATCAATAGTCAGATGCCCAATGGACGGAGCCACCCAGGCACCCCCAGTTAATCCCCATTTCTACCCCCAACCCAAGGCAACCACTAATTTACTTTCTGTCTCTATGGATTGGCCCCTTCTGGACATTTTATGTTGATGGGATCATTCAATATGTGACCTTTTGTGGCTGGTTTCTTTCAGTCAGCATAATGTTTTTGAGGTTCATCCATGTTGTAGCATGTATATAATCTGTTCCTTTTTCTTACTGAGTAAATGTTCCAGATGTGTGCTTTGAATGGGACTGAACGAGAAGCTCTGGCCAATGGGTCCTTCCTCCAGGCCTCTTTCCTGGAGAAGACATCCAACAGCCCTACCCCCAGGGCCACCCCCAGCTCTGAGTAACCCCCTTCTAATTCTGTCTTCACGGGAAGGCAAACCTGACCACCTCATCTTGCACTTGGCAACAGGATGCTTTTCACATCCTCGATGGCCTCTGGTGGTCCTGGTTCTCCTTTACTAGACTGAGGGCTCTCTGCAGGGAGAAACCGGGTCCTCAGCTGCTTCTACATTGTCTCCCTCTTCCAAGAACAGTGCTGAGCAAAAAGCAAGTGTCTGATAGATACACGTGAGCGATGCTTGTGAGTGAGGCAAGGCTGCAGCAGCAGCAGGGATTGTGGCTAATCCTCATGTTCTTTCCATCCCTTCAGCCCTGGCTGCTATGCTCGGTGTGTGTGTTAGCACCTCAACACTGAATGAGTCCAGTGAGAACGCAGCAATGGCTTGGCTGCGGCAGCTCCCCTGAGGCCATGGGCCCAGATGTCCCCCAGTTAATTCTACAGAATATACTGGAAAGAGCAAAAGTTATGGCTCTGACTTGGCCTCAGGAAAGGCTTCTCCTCTGGAAAAGGAAAAGTATCTACCCTGCAGACCTGGAGGATTAAATGAAATAAGGTATCAGTGATACAGTCAGGCTCAGAGCACAGTAGGAGTCTTTCCCCTAATACTTTCATCATCTCCCTCCCCACCACTTCTGTGTCTTTATTTTTAATGAGAGAGAGCGAAAGAGCAGGTAAGGGACAGAGAGAGAGGGAAAGGGAGAATCCCAAGCAGAGCCCAATGTGGGGCTCAATCCCATGAACTATGAGATCATGACCTGAGCCAAAATCAGGAGTTGGACACCTAATCAACTGAGCCACTCGGGGGCCCCTCTGTGTCTTTTCTTACCCCTCCCCTCCCACCTCTCCCAAAGTCAGTAAGTAGACTATGGAAATTCAAAGCCACTTTAGAGTTTGGTAAACATGGTATCCTAAAGGTATTACTATCACTGCCGAAGGATTTAAGATGTTTGGGGAAGGAATTCCAAGTATTCTGATTCAGTTTTGAGATTACTGAGATGTTGTAAGGCAGAGTGGCAAATGGACAGCTTTCAGATGTGTTCCATTTGATTTCTATGATAGAAGTTCCAGGGAGGTATTGTCAACATTTAACAAGTTAGAGGTTTCATATTATCATCTGGATTTCTGTCTTCTATTGAAAAAAGAAAGAAAGAAAGAAAAATACCCAGAAGATCTGGCCATTGGGTTTCAGGATTTGAAGGGCAAGCACCTTCCAGGTGACCTCAGTCCCATGGGTCTTCTCTTGCTCTGAAGACCAGGGTCTGTTTTCTTCACCCACACTCATTACATTTCTTGCCTGGCCCCCGAGACACTAGAATCTGTGCCCCTTTAAAAGCTGATGCCCTTAGGGGCGCCTAGGTGGCTCAGTTGGTTGAGCGTCCAACTCTTGATTTCGGCTCAGGTCATGATCCCAGGGTCGTAGGATCAGGCCCCACATAGGACTCTCACTGAGCGTGGAGCCTGTTTGAAATTCCCTCTCCCTCTGCCCCTCTCCTCCATCCATGCTCACTCTCTCTCTGAAAAAACAAAATAAAAGGTGATTCCCAAAGAGATTCATTCTTGAGATTTACAAAGGCTTAGTAATGCTAATTGTCCACCTGGTATAAGGGGACTGTTATTCTGCCTTTCTTTTCTTTTTTTCTTTTAATGTTTATTTATTTTTCAGAGAGAGAGACAGAGTGCAAGCAGAGGAGGAGCAGAGAGAGAGGGAGACACAGAATCCGAAGCAGGCTCCAGGCTCCAAGCTGTCAGCACAGAGTCTGATGTGGAGCTCGAACTCACAGACCGAGAGACCATGACCTGAGCTAAAGTTGGACGTTTAATCAACGGAGCTCCTTAGGCACCCCT